CCTGAATCCCAGAATTTGATGTCCTACAGTGAATCACTGCTGAAGTTGGAAAGGGTGTCTTGTCCATTATCTTTAGATCTGCTCTCCTATGGATTCCTGGGCTAGAGTGTGGCCAAGATCTTCTCTTGCCTTTAAGATTTACTTGCTCCCAATGATTGTACTGAGAGCCAGTTAAGGATCCAGGCTAGAAACTGGAAGAATGTGAAGCCTAGTCCCACCATGGATACAAACCCAACTGGATGGCTTTGAATCAGTCACTCTTGCTCAATCCTAGGTTTGGTGCAGCAGTTAAGTCATCAGGCTAGAAACCAGGAGACTGTGAGTTCTAGTTCCACCTATATGAAGGCCAGTTGGGTAACTTTGAGCCAGTCACTCTCTCAGACCAAGATGTCAGGCTTGGGTGACAAGCCAGTTGGTCAATTCTTGTAGCAATGATGGATCAACACTCCCTTGATTTCCCCCTCCTGAAGAAAAAAAAAACTCCCCCTCTTACTCAGTCCTAGGAAGAAGGCAAGGGCAAACACTTCCAAAAGTCTTGCCAAGAAAGTTGCACAGATTAGTTCAGAAGTCAGCACTGACTTGAAGGCTAAATAAAGAAATCCTGTATTACCTGAAGATCACAGGAAGTGAAAACCAATCAATCTGGTGAGTGCTGCATTGATTTGGATGCAACAGTCTCAGATAACCTATACCTCTCAGAATGCAATTTACTATGCATTATTCTTACAGAATATGTTGCTATTATTCACATATAATATACAATGATAGCATATAATTGTTATATACTATGCTATTATTCATATATATTCTTCAATATAGCAGCCTTTTCAGGAACTGACCACAGCCCAGTGTTTCCCTAGTAATAGCTCTACAAGGCATGTAGACCAGAGGTCCCCAACCTTTTGAGCACCAGGGACCGGTTCCATGGAGAGAGGTTTTCCTGCAGATGGGAGGAGACGTGGTTTCATGAACTGCTTGCATCCCATGGGTGGGGATATGCTTTGCACGGCCCGGTTTCTGGCATGCCACAGCCCGGTGCCAGTCCACGGACTGAAGGTTGGGGACCTCCAATGTAGATGACATTCTTTCCTCCAAACTTTTAAAGGTAATGCTTGAATTAAGCATGAATCAGGCCCACTCTGGAACTGGGAGTTCTCTTTTCTAAACCAAACTGTTAGGGGGTTTAGAGCAGGGGTCCTCAACCTTGGCAACTTTAAGACTTGTGGACTTCAACTCCCAGAATTCTGGGAGTTGAAGTCCACAAGTCTTAAAGTTGCCAAGGTTGAGGACCCCTGGTTTAGAGTAAGGAATCCCCCTCTCCCGTTCCCAGTTGAATTCTCAGGACAAACTACTAGATTGATTTTGTTTTGATGTATTGGATTACTCAGGTGCACCAATTACAATTCAGAATTACAACTGGACAAGAGGTAAAGGATTAAGTTCCTTGAGATCAGGATTAGAAACGGAGCTAAATTCTCTGCTCCTAGGAACAGAGGTTCAATTCCTAGCTTCTGCTCCATTGTTCTTTCTCAGCGGTGTAATTTATGAAGAGGAAGACAGGAGGTTTTGAAATGGTTCCTATTAAGACAGTTGGAAATCACTCCTGCTTGCCCACCTATGAGATCATACAAGGTTCTCTCAGGGGATCCTACCTTAAGCTGCTGTGGTGGGCTTCATACTTTCGATCCCCCTGCTTGATTTTCTTTCCTCTCTTAAGCAGAGAAATGAGGAGCAGCTGGAAACTTCCTCCTCCCTCCCCCACTTGTGAAATGAAGCAGACTGACACTGATTAATTCCTTAATTTCTTTAATCAACCAGAAATTAATGACTCTTGCTCTTCCATCGTTCCCTACAGATGAGAAAATTGCATGATGCTAAAGCAGATCAGATTAACCAGACAGCTACAAATGGGTTTTGAGGGAGGGCAGGGATATTGGAGGTGGAGGGACAGGAGAAGGGAGGGAGGTGGGGGGGGGGAAGAGAGCAGAAGCAATGTGGCATGAAAAAAAATGGGGGGAGAAGGGTGAAATTGCAGGGCAGAATATATCTGATCCAAATGGCTAAGTCATTACTTGGAATAATGGGGGGAAGCTATACCTACTCTATTACTCAAACAACCATACTATGCACATACATCTCTAAAGATAATTGAGCATCATTTGATGTTTCATGTCCCACGGGAGTAATTCTACAACAGTGAAAGCTGAATTTTGGCACACACATTCTCCAATGTGCTCTAATTACCAAAAACACCACAAATCAGTCATGATGACAGAGCAAGGTGTGGGAGTCCCACTATTGTGTTACTGAACCAGCCTCCAAATAGGAGAAAGCAGAAGGCAGGATGTGTGTGTGTGTGTGTGTGTGTGTGTGTGGTGGTATAGTTGAGCATAAACAATGACTTTTCATACTCATTTGAACTACTCCTGCATTCTTGGAGAAGATCTTGAAAAAAAAGAAAACATATTAGGCGTCATACAAGCCAACTCATCCTGGACAGATGAGGGTTTTCCCATAAGAAGTTGAAGTACACCAAATAGAAAGAGGTCTATTGCGGATCTACTTCCTCTGAGGTCTACTGTGTCCATCAATGTAAGTGAATGCCCCAATATCTAAGTAAGATGATCAAAAGAAAGCCAAGGGGATGAACTGCAGGGGGCTTTGACCAAATTGGCCCTCAGAAGCCACAAGAAAAATAAAGGCTCTAAGAGTCCATGGGGTGATGATGATCCAACAGAACACTGCATTGTACAGTTGGAGGCAGGGTATGGGGAGAGATACCTCATGATCCTTTTTGACTGGGTGGGATATTTTTTTCAATAGTCTTCCTACCTCTTTAGAAAGATCTCCCTAGACCAGTGGTTCTCAACCTGTGGGTTGGGACCCCATTTGGGGTCAAACGACCATTTCATGGGGGTCGCCAAACAATGCAGTCCGCCATTTTTTCCCCCTTTTCCTTAGCGGTGCTACTCCCTTTTATTCTATTGGCTTTTGAAAGCCAATAGAATAGACTCTCTTGAATAGAGTCTAATTCTATTGGCTTTCCAAAGCCAATAGGAATTGTCCAGGCTGTCTCTGCCCTGCTGAGCCTGCCAAAAGTCCCATTCTGCAAATGGTGCTGCACCAGTTGAGTAGTCCTCGACTTACGACCAGTTGAGTAAGTTCTCGACTTACGACCGGTTGGGGGTCGCGGGATTAAAAAGGTTGAGAACCACTGCCCTAGACAAATATGTATGACTTAATGAAATTTCTAAGAAAACATTTAGAAATGAGAATGGAAATGATAATAATATGGGCATTTTGATTCCAATCAATGATTGGATGATAATGATAATGATAATGATAATAATAATAATACTCATAATAATAGGAAGACCAGAAAAATAATGACAATGAATCATGCCCTTCATCCACGCAGGGACATTGACAGACTTTATCTACCAAGACAAATGGTGGGCGTGGAATGCTAGAAGTACATCAGATGGTTGAAGAAGAAAAAATGGCTTTGGAAGAATATTTGAAGAACAATGATGAAGATGCACTGAAATTAGTATATCAGGAAGGCTTACTGACTACTGGAGAGACCAAACTGGCCTACAAGAAAGACCAAATGAAGAACAGAATAGAGGCATGGGAAGACAAAGCACTACATAGCCAATACATTAAAAAAAATAGCGGGGAAAGCAGATATTAACAAGACCTGGCAATGGCTAAGAGCAGGAAAATTGAAGAAAGAGACCGAGGGACTAATTCAGGCTGCACAAGACCAAGCCTTAAGGACAAATGCATATAAAGTCAAAATTGAGAAGACAGCAACAGACAGTAAGTACCGCCTATGAAAGAAGCTGAAGAAACAGTGGACCACCTGGTAAGCTGTTGCAAGAAGATTGCACAGACTGACTACAAGCAGCAGCATGACAAAAGTAGCAACAACTGTGCATTGGAAGATCTGCAAAAAACATCATTTGCCTGTAAGCAAAAACTGGTGGGATCATAAAATAGAGAAAGTCATAGAAAATGATAAAATTAAACTGCTCTGGGACTTCAGAATTCAAACAGACAAGCACCTGCAACATAACACCCCAGACTTAACAATTGTCGATAAGAAAGACAAAAAAGTCTGGATAGTGGGACGTGGCAGTGCCTGGAGACAGCAGAATAGACGAGAAAGAACTGGAGAAGATAACAAAATACAAAGACCTACAAATAGAAATAGAAAGACTGTGGCAAAAGCAAGCAAGGGTAGTACCAATAGTAATAGGCTCCTTGGGTGCAATCCCAAAACAACTGGAGCACCACTTGAACACCATTGGCATTGACAAATTCGCTATTAGTCAATTGCAAAAGGCGGCCTTATTAGGAACTGCTTCCATCCTGCGACAATATCTGTAATACCATCAAACATCCACATCTGCCTATCCCAGGTCCTGGGTAAGGACTCGATAGGTAGACAAAATGCCAAATCCAGTCTGAACATCTGGCTGACTGTGCGATGATCGATAATAATAATAATAATAATAATAATAATAAAGTTGGAAGGGACCTTAGAAGTCATCAAGTCCAACCCCCTGCTCAGGCAGGAAACCCTACACCATTTCGGACAAATGGCTGTCCAATCTCTTCTTAAAAACTTCCAGTGTTGGAGCATTCACTGCTTCTGGAGGCAGATTGTTCCATTGGTTATTTTTTTTTACTGTCAGGAAGTATCTCCTTAGTTCTAGGTTGCTTCTCTCCTTGATTGGTTTCCACTCATTGCTTCTTGTGCTGCCTTCAGGCGCTTTGGAGAATAGCCTGACTCCCTCTTCTTTGTTGCAGCCCCTGAGATATTGGAACACTGCTATCATGTCCCCCCTCATCCTTCTCTTCGTAAACTAGACATACCCAATTCCCAGCAACCATTCCTTATATGTTTTAGCCTCCAGTCCCCTAATCATCTTTGTTGCTCTTCTCTGTACTCTTTCTAGAGTCTCAGCATCTTTTTTACATTGAGGTGACCAAAACTGGATGTAGTATTCCAAGTGTGGCCTCACCAAACCATTCTAAAGTGGTATTAACACTTCACATGATCTTGATTCTATCCCTCTGTTAATGCAGCCCAGCACTGTGTTGGCTTTTTTGATGCTGTCTTGAACTTTACAGATAGTTGTTGATGAGATTAATGACTTAATTAATAGTTACAGTGTAATGACCTGTCCATTAGTAATTTTCCATCATCTCTTGATGACTTGAAAAACTTTTGGCCAACAGGCAAAGAGATAATATTACAGAGGATACAAAGACAAACAGACCTTCTGATATCTGGAGCAGAAAAGTTTAGTGGCACTTGTTCAAATGAGCCACCATCTTTCAGGAACTGGGCAAAAGGTCTGCCAAAACCTAGCTAGTCGGTAAGATGGCTCTCTTTTATTTTGGCAAAGCTTTCTGTAATTCAATGCCTAAGATCAGTCAGGAAGGTCGATCTCCAAAATCCACTTGCAGCTGAATTGCCTTGACATGAGACATTCAACACTCATCACATTCCAAATTAATAAAGCTTCCTTTATGGTCTGTAACTGTTCTGACAGGGAGATTGAATCCCTGGATCTGGCAATTTGTCTTTTTAAATCTGAAGATCTCAAGAAAATGGTGAGTTCTAGACCCCCTTTAGGCAGGAAAGCCAGCTGAGTGACTTTAGCCCAATCACCAGGAGACGGTGAATTCTAGTCCCCCCTTAGTCATGAATGCCGTCTGGGTAGCTTTGGGTCAATCAGCAGGGGATGGTGAGTTCTAGTCCCATCTTAAGCATGAACACGGTCTGAATGATTTTGGGCCAATCAGCAGATGACTTCTAATCCCACCTTAAACATATAAAACCAACTGGGTGATTTTGGGCCAGTCTTTTTTTCATCCCAACTCATCCCACAGAGTTGTTGTGGGGAAAATAGCAAGGAATATTGGTATGTTTTCCACTTGAGTGGTACCATACATGAAAAAAAAAACCATGGGGTAAAAATCTTCTTTAAAACAGGTCCTCAGTGATGAGGTTGTCTCCAAGCTGTGAAAGAGCTTCAACAGGAGAGAGAAGAAAACATCATTCAAACTAGGTGCTCAAGGGAGTGAATGTGAGAGGGAGAAGAGAAATGGTGGACAAGGCTCTCTTTTTCTACACAGCCTCCTCTCCTCAGCAAGGTTCCCCATCATCCCCATCCTTGGTATCTCCACTGTGACTCCTTGGGAGTCCAGCATATCCTCCTGAGCACTCCTTTCGGCCTCCACTGAGAGCTAAGCGGCTGGGTGGACTTGCAGAGAAGTCTAGGGATTCACTGACACTGAAGATATATTTCTCCCACAGAAAGCGCTCCAAGTCAGGGGACAGCGCTGATGAGTTGGAACCTCGAATGCTCCCTGTTGACGCCGTATATTTTTCAAAAATCTGCCGACGGTACTTGAACTCCAGAATAGTCTTGGTGTAAGTGTTGAGGGTCAGCACTGAGGCTGACATGCAAAGAGTGAAAGAGAGCCAGGCCAAGCTGTGGGGAGAACATCAGGACAGGTGAGCAAAGGAGAAGAGAACACAACTTGAATCCCTTGGCCACTGATACCCTAATGTCTTCCTCAATTGTCCATCACTATTCCCAAACATTTATCCCCCCACTCAGATGCACTGCTTCTTTCATCCACAAAGTTCCCTCATCTCCAGAATCTCAATATTAAGGCTAAGGTCTTCTCTATTATAAATACAAACAGAAGTTTTGATCCATGAATCTTAAACATGCTTGGTTGCAGAGGTATCTGAGACAGCCAAGAGAGCAGTTGATATTGGGCAATTAAAATCCCACCTCTTTGTTATGTACAATACATGCTTGGCACGCGTAAAAGGAACGGGAATTCAATCATTCTGTCATGGCTATCTTCTTGACTGTTTTGAACCCTCTACCCATGGACACCACATCTCATTCTTCTTTTTCATGGTCCTTTTTTTGCTAGTTTTACAAGTAAGAAAACCAGGCATCTTGAGTTATTAGACAGTTTTCTCTAAAATATCTCTTGAGATTCAGGTTTTTATATTTTATTGTTTTTACTCATTCAGATTTACGCTCTTTGTTTTACCATCCACTGTGCTATTGTCATCAAAAATGAACAGACTGTACATTTTGGTAGATTAGAATCTCGTGCTGTTTGTCACAGGAATTTACTACCAGCCACATCTTGGGACCGTATAACATTCTTAGATACCTCTGAATCTCTTCCTTCCCTCTTTTTTCTACTTCGATCAAATCCTCTCTTTTCTTCCATTCTGACCTGGTCTAAAGAATTACAAAACAAGGTGGTAAACTCTAAAGAGGAAAGATCCTCCCAGTCTCACGCTCCTCAAAGCGGACTACTCACCCAAAGGACCATCCATAATACCATGTCTGGGGCCTCCAATCCTTTGGCCCCAAGTTTACAGCCACCTGAAAGACAGTCATGTACATCATGTGGGCCACCATGCCCAGGAGACCTGTGGAGAAGAAGAGGTCAATAAACCCATTCAAGCCATAATACTTTGCCACCCTGGAAATGTTCCATGTAGCAATCAACAGCTTAAGCGGACAAACATACACCCATACAAACATACACCCATAAATGTGCAAGTTGTGGGTTGATTCAACAAAATCTAAGAGTAAAGCTCACCCCAGTACATGCTCTATAAAGAGAGGGGAAAAGAATGACGGGAACATATAGCTAGTCTTAAACTTACAATCACAATTCTGACTAGAATTTCCATCGCTAAGAATTGTTCATTGTTAAATGAATCGCACCCAGTTTTATAACACTTTTTTCCACCTTGGGCATTAATTAGGATTCCGTAGTCAGCCTGACCACATTGCTAAGAATTCTGGGAGTTGAAATTTACCTCTCTGAAAATGGCCAAGATTGGGAAATCTACATCGGAACTATCTCAGAGACATTTCTGTCTACACAGAATAAAGAGATGGACAGGAGGGCAAGGGGCGATACCTGACAAAACAGTGATCACAGCTGCGAAAGCATTGATCTTGAGACCATCAATGAAGTTGGCATAGTAGATAGCATCCAAACACATCAGCAAGAATCCAATACTCAACAGGATGATATAAAGAAATTCGGAAGCAACTGAGAGCCACAGCACTCCTGCAGGAAAAAGAAAGAGGTTATGGGGTAGAAAGAGGCTAAGCTGCTTTGCTACCAGGAAGAAAATTGATAACAGCCACTAAATTATTCTGTTATCCCAGAGGCTGCCTGAAACTTTCCCACTGGCTCTACTTATAAAATTCAAAAGCCCAGCTGGGAAGGACTGAAAAAAAAAATGATAACAAGAAGGCATTTGGACTGACTGGGTACAGGGTGGGAGAAAAGATTTTGGTGGCCACAAGGCTTTTCTATCTCTTTGAGAAGGCAACATTTGACTAGCTGAAACTTTACCTCAGAAATATAAACTTTACTGTACTTACGGAGTTGCTTCCCACTCATTTTGCACTTCCGTGAGTTGGCCTATTTTGCCATCCAAATTCTCACCTTTTTCTGACTCTGGAGGCAGCTCAATGAAACTCCGACACTTCTCCTCTGCCGTGAGGGGAACAGTGAGAAAAGACAATGACAGTTTAGCCACAGCTGCTGCTGAACGTGGCAATGACTTCATGCCAACATCCCTCCCCCGTCTCCAGGAAAAGGGGATCTTTCTGTTTCTGCCACTGACTAGCGGCAGGTCGATCTGAGCTGATCTCAGCAAGAAAGTGCACCAGGTTGAGAAGACAAAGAGATATAACAAGGGACCAAAGAAAGAGTGCCATAGTCCAAATACCACTTTTCCTCATCTACAGTAGACTCCCAGAATCCCTAGCTCGCAAAATCCAGCGGAACGTTTGGGACGTTGGAGGGCATCTGGGTTGGGGAAGGGTTAACCCAGGGGTCTTCAAACTTGGCCCTTTTATGACTTGTGGATTTCAACTCCCAGAATTCTGGGAGTTGAAGTCCACAAGTCATAAAAGGGCTGTTTGAAGACCCCTGGGTTAAACCATGACTTTCAAAGTTTTTTTGAAGTTTAAAGTTCTCCATTTCTCTAACTGCACTCTACATTCTGATTCACACACTAACCTGTCTGGCAATTTTGTCCAGCCACTGGCCCCTCTTGTAATAATTAAGAGACTATGGTGCTAGGTACATTTTCCATAATGCTGTGAAGGAAATGTATCAGGAACTGTGCTGAGAAATCCAGCTAGTGAACATCATCGTGTTCAGACATTGCTCAAAAAAATGGTATTCTTTCCTGAAGAATTCTCCAATAAAGGTAAAATTGGGGTCTACTTCCTTAGTTAAAATTGGATTTGACTGGCTATAGGTAGTCCTCAACTTATGACTGGACACTTAGCAATGGCCGAAGCAATTATGAACCTACCTCGAAGCAACTTGCAACCCAGACTTGCAATTTTGATGATTGTCCCTCAGTCACATCATCAAATTTCAGGCACTTTGCAACTGGGCAGCATTTATAGCCATTTGAGCGTCCCTCAGTCACATGACTACATTTTATGACAGTTATGCTTTTATTTCCAGTTTTTGGCAAAACCATGCCCATAGGAAATTATTGGTTTGCTTTATGGGCATGGTACACTTGCTTAATGACCACTGGAAAAAATGGCATATAATCAGGTTGGTAACATAGTAACTTACAACCGTGATGGGCTGGCTCCATTATGGTCATAAGTAAAGAACTATCTCTATTGTGATTGGTTCTGAACCATATGGCTTATTTGCAGCTAATTTAATCTTCTTTTAATCAACTAAGTATGTTCTCTGAGTTTGTACAATACATTAAATTATGGAACTGCAAGGTTTATTCAACACTCTAGGTTTAAATGTTACTGGCTAGTTGTGGTTCAATGTGCTATGGAAATAAAGGCTCTCTTTTCCAAACTGTACAGTTATTTTGTGTAAATTAAACAAAATTAGAGAGAGCCCGTAGTACTCTAAAACAGGGGTCCCCAACCTCCGGTCTGTGGACCAGTACCGGTCCGTGGCATACCAGCAACCAGACCATACAAACAAGCAAAACCCCATCTGGGAGATGAAGGCAGCACACAAAACCATGCACACCCCGGTCCATGGAAAAACCTTTCTCCACAGAACCGGTCCCTGGAGCCCAAAAGGTTGGGGACCTCTGCTCTAGAAGTTGTTTCTGTACCGTCTGAGGTTCCAAAAATTGTACTTCAGCAATAGCTAAATGGGAACACTATTTTCCCATCTCTACTTCGGAATGATTTCAGACAAGGCAAAGGCAGCCCTTAGATTTGGAGGAATTGAAAGGGGACAATTCTTTGAATAGAGCCTTTCATGTCGTGCATCTAACTGCGACCTAAACTTCTATGGCAACCTCTTCTTTCTGTTGTATCTTCACGTGAGGCGGTGTAATGGGCTGTGAGAATAACCTTGAGGAATGGGAGGAAGAGCTGCAGCCAAAGCAACAGTCAGACAAAAGAAATCTGACTCCAAAGCAAGAATGTGATTTGAGAAAGCATTTCAGACTTGACCCTGCCTAGGATGATGGCAGGCAGCGGAGAGGCACATTCAGATTTGCAGTAACGGAAGTTACTAACAATAGTAGTTTTATATTCATGGCTCAAAAATAGTAACTGTGAGAAGGACCTCGGAGTCCTAGTGGACAATCACTTGACTATGAGCCAGCAGTGCGCAGCAGCAGACAAAAAAGCGAATACAATCCTGGGCTATATAAACAGAGGCATAAAATCAAGATCACGCAAAGTATTAGTATCGCTTTATAAAACCCTAGTGAGACCACACCTGGAATACTGCAGCCAATTTTGCTCACCATACTACAAAAAAGAAGTTGAGACCTTGGAAAAAGTTCAGAGATTTTTTTCTCCTGCTTGAGCAGGGGGCTGGACTAGAAGACCTCCAAGGTCTCTTCCAGCTCTATTCTATTCTATATTCATGTCTTTAGTGTTCAAGTCTGGTCCTGTTTGAAGTACAGGTAGTCCTCAATAAATGACCAGTTGCTTAGCAACTATTCAAAGTTATGACGGGCTTCCCCAGAGCTACTTTTGACCCAATTTGGAAGTTCTGATGGCTGCACACATATACCTTGTAGTCACATGACCACATTTTGAGGCTTGTCAATGAGCTCACCATTGCAGTCTCCCGTGCTAATATGACTGCGATTTTCAGCGGGTTTTTACCAGTTTCTGGCATGTACTTTTAGTTTCTGGCAAAAAAAAAAAAATGCCCATTGGGGAAAACAAATCTACTTAACAACTGCCACATTCACTTAATGATTATGGTGTTCACCTAACAACCACTGCAAAAAAGATGGTAAAATTGGGCACGATCACTTGATGACCCACTTAATGACCTCCATGATCATAATACCAAGCTTGATTCTGGTCATAAGTCAAGGACTACCTCGCTAAGGGTTGTAATCAGCTCAGCACCTCAGTACAGACATGTCAGTTTGTGTCTGGTCCATGAACACTGTGTTCCAAAACCTTTCTAACTGAGACAATAGCAGCATCTGCTTCTTTCCACTAGGAAAGTTGTATCAGCTTGGACCACCATCATCCAGAATTGGTGGCCAGGGTATATCCATTAATTGCTGATTTTAACTCGCCCCACATTAAAACAATGCGGACAGCCCCTCCTAAGGTCTCATTAGCGAGGCAGAATGGGGATTGGCAATGAAAAGAACCCCATTTATGCAGCATATGTTTCTCCAGGCTCACAGACTTGCGGAAAGCACTTGAACGCAGCTGTTCGGCCATGCTCTGAGACACAGGAGGGAGAGAACAGGTGCCAAGATTTGCAAAAGTACAAAAAAATCTCAAGTGTGGGCAAACTCAGGGTGAAAAAAACCCACCTCCAATTTTCACACAGAGAGTTGAGCATGCCAAGGACTTTGGTGGCATCGTTCCCTGCTTTGTTCCAGAGAAGAAACCATAGTACTAGTACCCTCATTCCAACAATTCACTGAAAAAAATCCTGGATGTAGTAGTCAAATAGTGTTTTATAATTATCTGTTGCATTTATCTCATCCTTCCTCCAAAAAGCTCAGGTGAATTCTTACAAGTCTCTCCCTCCCCACTTCCCATTTTCTATTCCAACAATCCTCCAAAGTTATCAGACTGAGAAAGAATAATTGTGTGAGATAAGTTAGCCCAAGGGCCTCACCAGGGTTTCTGAGGAAATGAATACTAAGATTTCACTTTCTATTGTGCCATTTGTTATTACCGTTGATGGCTATACATCACACAGAATAAGACAAGACTCTGTCACTAATAGTTTACAAAGAGAATCCCATACAAAAGTATAAGAGAAAGAGGTAAGAAGGTGTAGCTGGGAAAAAGCTCTGTGCTCTTATTTATAGGTTCACCAGATATATTAGTCCCTTCTTATAAAACTCTTAAGGTCCTTTATAGCCCTTTGAAGTTCTCCTACAACATTGTCTACATTGCTTATCTAGCCAATTCTTTCCCACCCTGTGAAAACATGAATGTCTAACTACAAATACAGTCATGGAATCAACTGCCCAGGGATGGTTACCCTCTTTAATACCTCCATGATGTTCTTCACACGACAGCCAGAAACCCGTGTGGAAATACTGAAAAGCATACTTGTCTTCACCCGTCTCCCAGATGTACTGGACTTTGTGGGGATCCACCGTCTCATTTGTATCCACAGTCCCGTTGCTGTTGTTGGGTGCACAATTCCCTTTCTTGACCACTGAAAGGCAGGGTGATTTCACCACTTTGTGGGTCCCTTCACACCAATAGCTGGTGCTGAAAGCCGACACAGAAAAACAGAGGGCAAGACAGTTGAGGCCCAAGGAAAGCATGGAGCGAGCTCTTCGGCTTAATTGAATCATCGTTACAATTTTCCCAGAGCTACAGGAAGAGACGGGGTTGGTCCTTGAGATCAAACCCAATTGTTCAAAGTCACTCTAAGTGGTGGATCGATCAGACACCTTCTGGATTTAGTGAATAATTCTGCACAAGAGTCCGGTGGGCAAATTGTTTCTCCAATTTTCATCATTGTCTCATCTTTATAAGCAGAGAGCAGGCTGTGTCCAACAAAGCATTCACCCTAAAGGGAAAAAAATGCATGTCAGAACTTGGAGTTAGATCTGGTTACTTGAGGATATAACGAATAGGAGCCAAAGTTTTCCAAGGAACAAGTGGGATCTAGGATCAGAAGGAAAAATGTGGTTTGCACCTACATTCCAAGGGGTGTATATCAATGAGATTGAATGAGCAAATAAAGAGATGGGTGCCATCAATCCTAAATGCTCCCTGATGACAGCTCCTAATGTGACTGAGCAAAAGATACCATGCAGCTAATCCTTCATGCCTTAATAGATTTCAGGGTGTGTATGTGTTTGTGGTAAAAAAAGATAGGAAAGGTAATAGGGGGAAATGGGTTATAAATGGAAGGTGACAAAATTCTGCGCTCGGCCCCCCAAAAAGTCTGATATAGCTTCTCTATGTCATGACACGAGATTTGTGGATATTATCAGCAAGATAAATGGCTTGTGCTGAATACTTTAAAAAGATTTTTTTTAAAAAAAATCTTCTTCTTGACAAGCCTTTTCTTCCTATTTACTCCCCTATTAACAGGAACCTTTCAATCTGATTAAAAAGCAGAGACAATCCTAAACTCTTTCTAATGTAAAGACCATCAATAAATTTAAAGCAAATGTTAAATGTCTTTTGGCATGTCATAGAATTTACACATCATTTTGGATGCTTCTCATCTCTTTTCTGTAACTAGCAAAGCTTCTTTTTGAAGACCTGAGGACGCTTTCCCAATTATGGAGATCTTTTTCCAACCTTCCATCACCACCATCTGCCACCCATACACTTGTGAGGGAGGGGTTGATATAGTTTCAAAGAGTTAAAAAATTCCTTCTTAGGCTACAGAGATCAGCTTCTTACACAACATACCACTGCAAAATTTATCTTTGCTATTACAAAAAGTCCTAGAAACTTCCAGAGGCCTTATCTGACTCTAAAATGCTACCTTGGAGACCCCTGATCAGAAGCTAATAGTCTTCAAGGTGAACAACTAGCCAGTCTGCCACATCAATGAATCTCCCACTTCATTTTGTTTTGTCTCTGGAGCAACAGTGTGGAAACTAGGCAAAACATTAAGGTGGCCTAGCTTCCTAGACACTCCACTAAGAATATAAATCCTTCCATTCCCCACCATCCAGTCAGAGCTGAAGAAGCTTCTTGGATGAGAAGCAAAATGTCTTTAAAGAAAATCAAGGATGTCCAGTTGCCTCTTGAAAAAGCACCTTTGGGACTCCATAGACATTTGGGCGCTGCACAGTTTATTGTGCCTTGCAGTGAAGAAGCCAAAACTAGAATACTAGGAACTCCTAATCATTTCAAACGCCTCCCCCCACTTTCTGAAATCTCCCCTAATTTGCTTTGGGCTCATCAGGCTTGCTAAATCTATTCAAAATGTGATCTTTGGGTGCAGTCTATCTGAACCAAGTGACTTGCTGCCTCTCCTTGGGATGAAACAGCTCACAAGTTGCTTTGTTGATCCTGCTTTAAGAATTATTTCTCAGTCCTCTTCTGAATGAAGAAGTTGTCTTTCTGAAATCCATGGCAGTTCTTTTACAGTTCTCTCCCACAAGGTTGCAAACTCTTTTTCTTCTTTTAATTATTCATCACAATTACAAGCCACAAGCATGCAGCAGGCTGTGTCAAATCTTTGGAGTTTTGCCAGTTCAAACTTCTGCCCAGAAGGAATGTCAAAAATCCAGTGTTCGGGCTGAAGAATAACGGAAACAAATGCAGGAAGAGAGGAAACGTGTATCTGAAGGAGTGGCACTCTGTCAGAAAGGTCCAGCAGTTCATAACCCTAAAAAGAAGCAATTTGAACCCAGTGGATCAGGCCTTTTATTGCTTGGGGGAGCTGAAAGACTGGATTGCAAAGAGTACAAAATATCACCCATTAACAACAGCTCACAATGCCACTTAAACTATCAGCCACAAATATTCCCATTTGAAGAAAATGTTGGATGCTCAAAATCCAGGAGTTCTTGATTCCCCTTCCTTAACAGATCCAAAAGAAGGTTGCTCCAGAAATGATCCCAAATACAAGTATCATGGGTATGATTCAAAATCCCTTGGTTAATGGATGGAGACCAATCCTGGAACATTTGACCATATCACTCCTGGACCATCACGCCAACAGAGAACTGAAGATCTATCCTCTTTTCAAAAAAGAAAGGAAAAGGTATTTAGCTGATGCTAATAGACAAGATGCGAGGATCTTCAGCAGAGATAGATGCAAAGAGCAACTCCCAGGGGTTCACCCTGCACCTTGTAAAAAATGCTTCTCTGTAGCTGCTCAGCATGCAGAATCTCTCTACACTGGCTGGGCTGACTGGAGAGGTGGCATAAGCAGGGTGATAAATGAGCAGGCAGCAAAGGCGACAGAGTCCCTGGAGGATAGGAATCAGCAGAGAAGTGGAGCGGCAGCTGATTAAACACACACAAACACACACACAAACACAACTTCATTAGTGCCAAAGGGGTACCAGTGCCAAGTTTGAGGGATTAACATCTAATAAAGGAGAGAGGAGAGGAAGACAGAGCATCATGGACCCCGTTTTTTAAAATTCTGTGTTCAATCAGCTGGCTGCTTGAAAAGGATAAAAAATTGGATGCGAGATGAGGGAACAGCTGGGTCAAAGGTGACAGAGGGGACTGAAAGAGAGAGAGAAGAGGCAGGGAAGAAGAGAGGGATGGAGGAGGAGAATAGAGACCAGCAGATAAGATCATGGAAAAATGATCGGCAGAAGAGCGGGCTGGTGAACTGGGCTGATCAGTGACACAGCGGGATTATTATAACATGAGTGAAAGATTTCCACCAAACAGGGTTGAAAACATTATTGTAGCCTGATGCTTAGAGAGCAAATGTACACAAGCATTATTGCCTTTTGTATTTTTCCTTTTGACTGACCTTGTTCCCCATTTAAAATGTCAGTTGTTGTTTAGTAAGCATGAACACATAGGAAGGCCAGTCAATACAGAGAACAAATATTGAGATAGATAAGGAAATATTTGTCCCACTGCTCAGAGTTGGGGGGAATCGATCCGTACATAAACAAGAGTGAATAGATTGGCCAATATGTCAGTCTAAAAACTGGTATGTACGTATGTATGTATGTATGTATGTATGTATGTATGTATGTATGTATGATATATTTAGCCTTTACCTTTGGATCTTGAGTCTCTTGGGATTATCATCTGGCTGGCTATAAAGAGATTGTTTTTGTGTATCCCATTTTCAATACTATCAACATGTTAGGAAATCAAAGCTGGCGTAGACTTAAACACAGCTAAGTAACTAGAGCAGAGAAGATCTAATTGGGTGGACTGGCAGCCAGAATGATAGACATCTAAAGAAGAAGAAGTAACAGTCATGCAGGCTAACTGGATGACAATTGGTGCATGGGAAATGTATAGGCATTGCAGCGTACAATAGCAATAGTCCATCACAGGAACCCTCTGCCTTTCAAGGCTGCATTCAGTTCCTAAATATTTTTTATAATTCCCCCCCCTCCCCCGAGCTGCCTCTGACATCATTGCCAACCTTTGGTGGCATAGATTCTTGTCGTTTTGGGGTGGGAAATATGCACACAAAAATAAGACAAGTTGTAAAATAGACTTAACACAATGTAGAAAACAAAGACAACCTACCCACTCTCCAAATTCCCTTCCAAAATCCAAGTAAAAACAAAACAGGACTTGGTTTGCTTTGGCACTCTACAAAGTGTTACTCCACATCTTTCATAAAAAAAAAAAAATTCCCATTCCTAAATGTGGACTATAAGGGGATTAAAGGCATCTCAGCAATCTGCTTTCTAGTAGAGCAGGCATGTCAAACTCATGACATCATGTGACATTGTGTGATGTATTGCGTCTTTTCCCATTGCCGGCAATGGGATGGACGCGATTTCAGTGTGATGCATCTGGCCCGCGGGCTGGTAGTTTGACATGCCTGTAGTAGAGGTTTAGGAAGTGGCCACACCTCCCACCCACCCACCCACCCCTGAGGCAGCCATGTTATTTACAGTCATACCTCAATACTCACCTGCTTTGAAATTCATCAAATTTGGTACTCAATACATTTTGATGTGAAAATTTTGTCCAGGTACTCATTGTTTGTTTGGTACAATGCACAAAACTTGTCGGTGTCGGCTACCTTGTGACTTGCTACCCTTTCCAGCTGAAACAAAAGGTGAGTCACGTGATTTGTTTGGTACTTGTTGTTTTTAGTACTCATCATATCTTCTGGAACTAATTAATGGCAAGTACCAAGGACCACTGCATTTATTTGTTAAACTTATTTGTTGCCTATCTCACTGGGGGCTGCTCTAGTGGTTTTTGCACACATACCCAGTGGCGACCATTTGAGGAAAATGCCCACAACACACTTTCAAAATTCAGAACATTCCACCCTGACCCAAAACTGGAAGGCTGCAGGCTGATGGATCTCAGTATTTTAATTTTAAAAAGATCTAAACACTTCATGTAATATGAAGCCTGCTCATCCCTTAAGTCCCCCCCCAAAAAAACCAATTGGATTCAAGCTGCTGTACTGTAAGAGATTTATCTAGCCTAATCTCCTATGATTACAGGCAGTCCCTGAGTTAAGAATGTCCAACTTAAGGGCAACCTCTAGATATAAACAGGCTGCCTATTACTAAAAATGGCAGATGACGTTCTCCTTCCTTGAGTTGACAAACCACTGAAGCCGTGCAATGCTTTCAGGAATTGTTGAAGCTGCACATTTTTAATATGCAGCCTATTTGTAGCCATTCGTGAAAGCATTGTTCAGCTTTAGCAGTTCATTGGTTCAAGGAAGGACAATGCCATCCACCATTTTTAGCAATAGACAGTCCGTTTCGTAAATACAAGTTCGACTTACAAATACACATTCAGGTTAAAGACAGACTTAGGAGCAGAACTTGTTCTTAACCTGGAACTCCGTATAACTAAAAACATTTAATGATGGAAAATGCACAATTTAGTCACACTCTAAAGAAATGTGATGGATTGGCGTCCAGGAGCAAGAGATGACTCAGTTCAGAGAGTTCAGGAGTCTTCAAACCTGGCCCTTTTATGACGCTGGCTGAGGAATTCTGGGAGTTGAAGTCCACACATCATAAAAGGCCAAGTTTGAAGACCCCTGAGATAGTTGATGTGAGAGAAAGTTTGTGGAGTATATGCTTTGGGGGGGGTAGTTTGGTTCAGCTTGGCAAGATTCTGTCTATAGATGTGGATCAATAAAAATAATCTGCTCGGAAGAATCACAGTATGTCTTTCCTGGGTTTTGGGGCCTGAAAGAGAGCTCTTCGTAATATTTAATGTGAGCACCTTTCCTCTCTCTTGAGTTAAAGTATTTCTAACCATCTTTGGGCAGCCAGAAAATTATCAGAGTGAAAATAGTTGCTGTAATGTCTGATCCATATTTTGCTCCTGCAGCTTCAATAGTGAATTGCTATCAAATGACATTGTCCTCATTTTACGTGTGCAATCGATAATAAGCAGAGCAATTGGCTGGTTCCTCCAGCTTTGCTACCTTTCTATTCTGCTTGCCTGGAACGAAAGAGAAGTTTCCTGACAATGCAAAGAATTAATCACTGGAACAGCTTGCCTCCTTGAGTTGCAGGTGCCCCATCAGAGGAGGTTTTCAAGAAAAGATTGAACCTCCATTTTTCCAGAATGGTATAGAGCAGGGGTCTTCAAATTTGGCCCTTTTATGACTTGTGGACTTCAACTCCCAGAATTCCTGATCCAATAATTTTAAAAGAAAAATGTCTAATTCTAAATACGATCAATATTTTAATATTGCATTTCAAGGTGAATTGCAAAAAGAATGTACAATTAAAATGTGGAAATATGTATTCAGTACACAGTTATCTCAGATATATAGCAGTGCATCACCTACTTATTTATTGAGAAAAAATGCATGTAGATATACTAATTCTTGCCAACTATTAAAATTCTGTGTTGAAGTCATCCATATTCTACAAAATATCTAAGCATATGCAGATCAAACAGCTTTACCCTGCAATTTTCTTCAGGATTTTTTTTTTTTAACTGTCACAGAATCTGAAGAAGACACATATTTTTTTCCTGCATAATAAGCACCGTTCTATTTTTTTCAATTATGTTTTAACGCAATATATTTTTACTTGTCACAAACAGTGGATTTTATACTAGAAGTCTAGCTCTCAATCCCCTTGATATCCACCGTTTTCTGCTGCTCACATTTTGATTCAGATCCTTTTGCCGGTTTACAGTACAGTAAAATAAACTATAATCCACGAAAGCTTATAATATAAATGTACAGAGTAATGGAAGCTTCCTACATGTCTTAAGAAAGACAAAAGAGGAAAAATGAAATTTAAAGGAGAAAGGGGCTGCTGAAAAAGTAGGACTGCAAACTAGATTATTTATTTCTTTTATTCATTCAGTTTCTATAGCCATCCATCTCAAGCAAGAATTGTTTTCTCTGTGAGCATGAGTGACTCTCTCTCTCTCTCTCTCTCTCTCTCTCTCTCTCTCTCTCTCTCTCCCTCCTGTGAGATCCTCGCCCTTATCTAAATGATGTAGATTTTTGGCCTTGCTTTTTGCAGCCCAGAACAGGACCAGCAGTAGCCTGAATATCAATGTCATCTGCAATAGATCACTTACTCCATTTCATGTGGAATGGCAGGAGATAGTCCATGTAACATCAATTTCCTTCCCAATCAAGCAACCCCCAAAGCAACCAATTATGTATTAATTATCATCTCTGTCCTTCCTGACACAAATTCTCAAACATTACACACATACATGCTAACTCTGAAGGTTAATGGAAACCTGAGGGAAAGAAAGGATGGCCCAAACTCTCCTTTGCCATCCCTTTCCTCTGTGAAAAAGGCCTCTGTTTTATTCTTTAATTTTCAGGAGGCTTGAGATTTTTCTTTGATTTCTTCAAATGAGGATTTTGAACTCATTTTATTATTGGAGCTGGCAGAAGATGGCACTGCTGGTGGTGCTTTCAGTTTGGATCTTTTCATCCTTTTGAAGCCTTTCCAGTTGCCCATCCTTCCCATTTTCAAAAAAATGCAAAGGGAGAAATGCCCTCATCATGGTTTCCCTCAGGAATTTTTGTTTGAAATGTGGGAAGCTGCAGAATTCAGCCATCTCTCAAACAAGTAAAGGCAAGAAAGTGCCTTTGCTGTAAGAAATTAATCAAAATTGTTTTCTTTAGTTTTCATGGAAAGCAAATTCTTTTGTCAGGCTGAATGATGGCCAAGGAAGCCAAAGTTTATTATCTTATATTTTACTGCTTTGAGGAATTACTAGCCTACTCTTCAGGGCATCCCATAACATCTACTCAATATTCAGGAAGTGAATTCTCCAATCAGTTGCCATCAAAGGCATTGTGACTGGCGAATCCAGGGATTAAATTTGAGGTGTTCTGCAGACAGATAATCTCTCTTTCTCTAATATCTGGCCTATTGAGAGCATCTAGATCCACTGGACTACAACTCCCAGCATTCTGTTAGCCACGATGGGTGGGGCTTCAAAGAGTTGAGACCTAACATAGTAAGGCATTAGGTTAATGTGGAATAATGAAAAAAATCACTAAAATAATGATGTGTCTGCATAATTACTGGAATAATACTGTGTTAGCAATATGTGACTAACCTAATGCGCATTGCACTTGGATACAATGTATGTAGCAAACACTCTCCATTGTATACCCGTGAGAAACTAACCTAAT